ATCAGGACAAGGTTCTTCCCCCAGAGGTGTTTGGGCACTGAACAGCTCCCCAGGGCAGTGGTCATGGCCCCAAGCCTGACAGAGCTCCAGGAGTGTTTGACCAATGCTCCCAGGCACAGGGTGGATTTTGGGGTTGGATTTTGATCCTTGTGTGTCCCTTCCAGCTCTGGATATTCCATGCTTACATCTCAGGTCAATATGAACTGTACCAGTTACCTACATGAATGAGGGATCACATTTACCCAGTTTAACTCTGATGGAGTTACTCCACTGCACTAATCTCTCCCCTCTGTGTGCTCTGGATCCTCAGGTTATCAAGCCAGAATCGTGTGTTCCCTGTGGAAAGAGAGTGAAGTTTGGGAAGATCTCCCTGAAGTGCAGAGACTGTCGCGTGGTGACGCACCCCGAGTGCCGCGAGCGCTGCCCCCTGCCCTGCATCCCCACGCTCACGGGCACCCCGGTCCGCATCGGAGAGGTAGGGCCAGGCTGCCTCCCCAGCACAGCTCCTCTTGCTCAGAGCTGCACAGCTCCTCTTGCCCAGGGCTGCACTGCTCCTCTTGCCCAGGGCTGCACTGCTCCTCTTGCCCAGGGCTGCACTGCTCCTCTTGCCCAGGGCTGCACTGCTCCTCTTGCCCAGGGCTGCACTGCTCCTCTTGCCCAGGGCTGCACTGCTCCTCTTGCCCAGGGCTGCACTGCTCCTCTTGCCCAGGGCTGCACTGCTCCTCTTGCCCAGGGCTGCACTGCTCCTCTTGCCCAGGGCTGCACTGCTCCTCTTGCCCAGGGCTGCACTGCTCCTCTTGCCCAGGGCTGCACTGCTCCTCTTGCCCAGGGCTGCACTGCTCCTCTTGCCCAGGGCTGCACTGCTCCTCTTGCCCAGGGCTGCACTGCTCCTCTTGCCCAGGGCTGCACTGCTCCTCTTGCCCAGGGCTGCACTGCTCCTCTTGCCCAGGGCTGCACTGCTCCTCTTGCCCAGGGCTGCACTGCTCCTCTTGCCCAGGGCTGCACTGCTCCTCTTGCCCAGGGCTGCACTGCTCCTCTTGCCCAGGGCTGCACTGCTCCTCTTGCCCAGGGCTGCACTGCTCCTCTTGCCCAGGGCTGCACTGCTCCTCTTGCCCAGGGCTGCACTGCTCCTCTTGCCCAGGGCTGCACTGCTCCTCTTGCCCAGGGCTGCACTGCTCCTCTTGCCCAGGGCTGCACTGCTCCTCTTGCCCAGGGCTGCACTGCTCCTCTTGCCCAGGGCTGCACTGCTCCTCTTGCCCAGAGCTGCACTGCTCCTTTTGCTCAGAGCTGCACAGCCACATGCCAACGAGCTCGTTAATGCATCATTCCATAACTCTGCAGGGAAGGGGTGTAGGGGTGTGATCTTAGGGGGTGGTGAGTGGGGAAGATGCAGCTCTAAGTTGTGCTGATGGATGTAGTGTTGCTCTTCTCTGAGTTGGTGAAGAGGAAACAATACTTGTTTTTAAAGCTCAGATCTTGCTGTGAATTCCTGAGAGTGTGTTTGCCAAGTCTTGAAGAATGACTCGCTGTTTTTTCTTTTTGTTTTCCTTTCTGCCTTTTAGGGCACCTTGATGGATTTTGTCCCTTCTACTCCTCCAATGATCCCTTCCATCCTGGTGCACTGTGTTAATGAGATCGAGCAGCGAGGGCTGCATGAGGTAACAGCAAAATGAGGTGTGAAATGGGTGGTGGTGTCAGGGAAGCACATTGTTAACCCAACCATCCCTTATTTGTGGTGTGCATGGTGCTGCTCACTGGGTGACTGTGGGAGCAACGGGAGTGCTCAGGTGTGGAGAGAAGGTGGAGGTGGAAGAACATCAGTGACTCTCCTGCCTCTGAGCAAAGCTCTCTGCCATAACAGACAGGCCTTTACCGCATCTCTGGCTGTGACAAGACCGTGAGGGAACTGAAAGAGAAGTTTCTTAGAGCAAAAAACGTCCCTTTGCTCAGTAAGGTGGATGACATCCACGCCATCTGTGGCCTTCTCAAGGACTTTCTGCGTAGCCTGAAGGAACCACTTCTCACTTTCCGCTTAAACAAGGCTTTCATGGAAGCTGCAGGTGAGGAGCTGCTGTGTGACATCTCCAGCTCTTTCAGGCTTGATGGTTGTGGGTTTAGCTGTGAAGTGCTGTGGAGCTCTGGTGCTTGCAGCTCTGTTGATGTGCAACAGGCTGGGAAGATCTCTCTTAGTGCTGTACTGTTTGGGAAGAGGAAAAAGAACAAGTACTAGTTGGGCAGGGTACAAAGTTACTGCCATGGCATGGGAAGTTTCATGCTTCCTTGTGTCTGAGGCTATGAGGGGAATTTTGCAGCTTCTGGGATCACTTTGCGAGGTCTAAGTATTACTTTTTTCCCCTAGAAATCTCGGATGAGGACAACAGCATTGCTGCTACGTACCAAGCAATTGGAGAACTTCCTCAGGCCAATAGGGACACCTTAGCTTTCCTCATGATCCACCTGCAGAGGTATGTTCTGATGGACAGGTAGTCCCTGCCCATGGCAGGAAGGGTAGAACAAGGTGATCTTTAAGGTCTATCCCAACCCAGTTGCCACTGGTCCTTTCTCTAGTTGGATCTCATTACGTGAATATCAAGTCTTTATCCTGGAAAAAACCCCATGCAGAGGCTGAAGTGTGTGTGGGGCAGGGGAGCTGGATGACAAGGGAAGGGGAGAAGCTACATTTTTTGCTACTTCCTTTCCATGCAGGGTGGCTCAGAGCCCAGACACGAAAATGGACATCACTAACTTGGCCAAAGTCTTTGGCCCCACAATAGTTGCCCACGCGGTACCTGATCCTGACCCTGTGACTCTGCTGCAAGACACAAAGCGACAGCCCAAGGTAGATCAGCAGGGAGGACCAACCTGGGTGGATTTATCCCACTGAAAGGACTCAAACTGCTGCAGAGTCAAGGCCATGCCTGCCTGGTGTTGCCATGTCAGAGCTGTGTGATCCTGTGTGACATTGGAGAGGGACTCCCTACAAAGGGCATGGAGTGCCAGGACACAGGGAATAGCTTCCTATGTCCAGAGGACAGGGTTGCATGGGATACTGGGGGAAAAAATCTTCCCTGGGAGGGTGCTGAGGCACTGGCACAGACTGCCTGGAGAAACTGTGTCTGCTCCATCCCTGGAAGTGTTCCAGACCAGGCTGGATGGTGCTTGGAGTGGAGCGGGCTGGTGGAAGGTGTCCCTACCCATGGCAGGGGGTTGGAATGAGATGGTCTTTCAGGTCCTTCACACCTAAACCATTCTGTGATCAGCAACTCATGGTTGTCTCTGTAGGTCATGGAGCGACTTCTGCTCCTGCCTGTGGATTACTGGTCCCAGTTGATGACAGTGGAGCAAGAAAACGTTGACCCAGCTCACGTGATCGAGAACGCCAACGCCTACTCCACTCCACAGACACCTGAGGTTAAAGGTAACTCTGGGTTCTGCTCCACTGTTCAAAATAAAAACCCTCAGTCAAAGCTGCTTGGGAGGCTGTTGGATCCAACCA